CTCGAACCCTTGGGCTCAGGCAATCCACTCACCTCAGCCTCCCAAAGGCGCGGGATTACAGGCTGAGCCACCAAGCCCGGCTCAACTGCATTTTTATTTTTTGAGTTGGAGTCTCACTCTGACACCCAGGCTGGAGTGCAGTAGCATGCTGCTCACCGCCACCACAGTCTCAACCTGCTGGGCTCAGACGATCCTTCCGCCTCAGCCTTCCAAGTAGCTGGAACTACAGGCATGCGCAACCACGCCTGGTTAATTTTTTGATTTATTGTAGAGTTGAGATCTTGCCAAATTGCCCAGGCTGGTCTCGAACCCGTGGGCTTAGGCAATTCTCTCATCTCGGCCTCCCAAAGTGTGAGCCTCTCAACTCCCAACTCCCCCCATCCTTCACAAGGACAGAGTCCTAGACTGCCAGCTGGAAGTCTAACCCTGACTCAGCCCCAGACTCCTAAAAGTCAAGCCAACTGCTTCACTTTTTTGCACCGCCGTTTCCTCCTCTGAAAAAAGGGGGTGATACCAACCCCAACTTCACGAGGCAGGTGCACTCAATTAGATGAGTTCGCCTAGAACGGAATGCACCCTCTTCCCCCCTCACCACTCGCAGGACCTGGCTCAAGTTCATCCTTCTAGCTGCCTTTTCTTGGGCCCTCCATCTCTTGCCCTCTCCCTGTGCTCGGCCGGGGAGCAGCAGAGCCACGGAACGTTCCCAGTTGGAAGAAAATCCACTTTGCAGGTAGGAAAATTGAAGCTCGGAGAGGCGAAGCATCTTACTGAACATCTCACGGCTTTGCTGGGACCCACTGGGTCTCCCAGCCCATGTCACTCTCCACGCCCCGCTCCCTGGCTGGGAACGAGCTTCCAGCCTCCCTCCGACTCCAGAGGCTCCGCCCCGAGGCGCCGTCGCTCGGGTTCGGAAAGGAATATCCAAACTCTTGGCAGCTCGGAGCGCTCCTGGGCCTCGGGGCCGGGATTGGATCTGCAAGGAGCACTGGAGAGTGAGCAGAAAGGGAATGTTGTGCTCGGTCCAGCCTCGCCCTGGTCCCCCGGGCATGACACACCGTGACCCCCAAAACCCGGACACCTCGCCTCACCTGCAGCAGCTGCTCTGTTCGCAAACTCACTTCCTGCTTCCGGCTCCCCCATTCATTGGGGCTCTGCGAGCCCCGCCCCCTTTGGCCAATCGTCTGGCACCGGAGTCCGGATGGGCGTCGGGCCCAGCCAATAGGCGAGCCGAGGCGAGTCTCTCCGGCTCGCCGGCTCCCGCCCCCGGGCGCTACGGGGTGCTGCGTGGATTGGTACCACGGCCTCGGCCTTTTGTCCGAGGGGATCTGGAACGTCAGCGCCCGGCCGGGCCGCGGCCTAGTCTGGGCAGACGGGACTGACAAGGTCACGGACCGAATACCAGAGGACCTCCCTCTCCCGGTTCCGATCCTGCTCTCCTTTGGGATTTCATCCCGGAGTCCCCCGACCTCAGTTTTGCAGGCAGGAACCTGCACGATGGGAGTAATGTGGGTCCCCGGTTCTCACGGCACTCAGGGTCTGGGGTCGGGTGGAGACTCGTTGGAGACTGCAAAGCTCTCGGTGAGGCGGATCGAGGCTACAGGCTAGTGGGTTTCGGCCAGAGATGAAATGGTCCCCACCACGTAGGAGCGCGGACCCTTCACTGCACCACTACGGAGTCCCCTGGGGCTGGGGCAGCCGCTAAACATTCCTGAGCCTCAGTTTCCACAGAGCAAAGAGGTTGGGGACAGGGAGGGGGTGGCAGTTTCTTGGTGCTTGCAGGGTGCTTGATGGTTAAGAGTCTCCTGCGACCCCAAAAGGCAGCCCAGGGTAGAGACGGTACCTGATGTCCATTCCTATGTGTCCGGACAGACTTAAAGACGACGGGCAGGGTGGGGCACGGCATGTGGAAGTGCCTGGCGCTGTGCCTGAGCCGAATGGACAGCATCGTGAGGGTCCAGGCCCAGCTTGGGGGGCGGAACCAGGTCGTCTAAGGTCGAATCAGGCCTCTGCCACGTGCTGGCTGTCCAGTTTACCTTTCGGAGACTTGGCCTTATTAGCCGGCAAACCAGGCTACTAACAATCCAAGGGAGATGGTAGGCTGATGCGACCTGTTGACTGGGCAGAGCCATTCTCTATAGTTGTGTGGGGGTGGGGGTGTTTGGGGATTGACACCTGGCACACTCTCTTTGCCACGCCTGTGTCTAGGCTCAGGGCTGTGTCCGCCCACCCCAAGCTCTAGTTTCTCCTCCGCAAAGGTGCCCAAGGCCCTGCTCGGCATAACTGTGCTGCTAGCTGTGGGCTTTGATGACGACTGCCACTATATGGAGGAATTCAATGAGTCGGTCTGTGTCCTTAGGGAAGTCACCCGACGTCTTTCCTGTGCCTCCATTTTTATTGCCTAAAATGGGTATAAAATTGACTGACTGGTGAAGTTGAAATACATACAGGTAGAGGAGGTAGTGCTGTATACTGCCACCAGGGGGCAGCTCAGATAGGGAAAAGATCCCAGTACTGTTTGTGATCACAGCTAATATGAGCACTTACTGACATGGAAGGTCTCATGTAATTCTTTTATTTGTTTTATTTTAGAGCTGGGGAGTCCTACTATGTTTCCCAGGCTGGCCTCGAACTCCTGGGCTCAAGTGATCCTTCTGCCGCAGCCTTCCAAGTAGCTGGGATTACAGGTGCACAATACCATGCCTTGCCTCGGATCTCATTTAATTCCTGCAAAAACCCTGAGATATCATCAGTTTCTCCACTGTAAAGTTGGGGAACCTGAGGCTAAGAGGTTCCCTAAGGCCACACAGCACATCCTCAAGTGTTCCTGAACAGGCATTCCACCACGCTGTCCCCTCCACCTGCCCCCCCCACACACACACACACTCAGACACAAAATCACATGAAGTAGTCTATCACTGGAGTCATAAACATCCCCAGCCTTGGCTCTTCCCCATGGGAATGAAAAAGGAGTTGGTAAGGAAGTCACATTATCGAGCATCTACTATGTTACAGTTGACTTCTATCCATCCACAGTCACCTGGTGCAGTAGCAAGCACTGTTATTCCATTTAAGAGATGAGGAAACAGGCTGCATGAGTTGGCAGGGACAGAGCTGGGGCAAGACTGGGGCAGTCTGTCCCCCTCCACCAATACTTCCGAGTTCTCTCCCGCACCCAGCATGGGGCCCTTTGCTTATCTTTTCTCTGAGTCTGATATTCCTGGGTGGAAATGGGATCAAAATGTTCCCTTACCTGGTCAGAAGAGGTAACAACTGGGAAGAGTTGGATTTCTAGTCCTTTGGTGTGGTGGGGAGTTGAAACGCTCCCACATCTGCCGGGTGAGGTGGCTCACACCTGTAATCCCAGCACTTTGGGAGGTGGAGGCAAAAGGAGTGCCTGAACCTAGGGGTTCAAGACCAGCCTGGGCAACATGGGGAGACCTCGTCTCTACAATAAAGAAAAATTAGCCAGGCGTGGTGGTGCACACCCATAGTTCCAGCTACTTGGAAGGTTGAGGGGGAAGGATTGCCTGAGCCCAGTAGGTTGAGGCTGTGGTAGCTGTGAGTGTGACACTCACAGAGTGAGACTCCAACTCAAAAAAAAAAAAGGAGAAAAAAAAGAAGAAATGCTCCCACATCCACTCAGCGGCCCCATTCCCTCCTTCCCCTTGGTGTAACAGTGTGATACTCTAGAAGCAAGAATTGATCACCTCCTCTCTCTGTCCCCTCAATAGCCCAGTCTGTCCCCAATAAGCTGTGTGGCCTTGGGCAGGACCCTCCACATGCAAACTGTACTCCCTAGGGCTCTGGCTTCTGTCTTCCAAGAGGGAAGGTCATGCTTGTACTCAAAGCCTTCTTTTCATGTCTCTAGAAGGTCTGTCCTCCTGTCTTCCTGGCCTGCTCCTATAGAAATGGTCTGGGGGCAACACCACCAGCCAGCTTGGTCCTTTGTTCACAGGGAGAGGTGACCTATGGTCAGGATGAATAGGGGTCCAGTTCAGAGTTGGCCTCCTTGGCAACCAAGGTCCACCAGGCCCCGACAACTGTCTTCACCTCCATCCCTGTCTTCCACCCCCACCCTCCCCAAGAATTTCTCCGCCCCACTATGCCGCTCCCCTCACCTGGGCTGCCCTCCCAACTCCTCCCTGCCCCTAAAGACACTCTGCCCTCCAAGATGTGACTCAAGCTCCAGGTCCTCCCTGGGACTTCTTGGGAGTCCCTGGTTCTCACCCCTCCAGCCTGGCTGACAAGCCCACGACATCTGGCCTGGGGTACCAGTGGCCAGCACAGGTGAAGTGGTCAGCTTCCAGTACAAGCAGGTGCCGGTTCCTCCTCAGACTGTAAGCTCCCTGTGTGGGGCCAGGCACCGAGCAGGTGGGTCTCCACCAATCTAGTTTCCACAACCCCACCCACTTCGTCCCACCCCTGTCGAAGGGAAGCGGCATGGTGTGATGGAGGGGGTGTGCTCCCCCACCAGACGGCAGCTGTGGACTTGAATCCAGGCTTGGCCACCGTGACTTACAGCATGTGCCTTAATCTCCTGGTAAACACAAACGGCAACACCCCCCTTTCTGGGTTACCATGAGGATAAAATAACAAAACCTCTGAGAAGCAAAGCCCGGTGCCTGGTGAGTGCTCAACGAACACAGTTATTATTATCATCAGCACAGTGCAGGGCACATGATGGGCATTCGGGAATGATAGCCCTTGTGGCACAGCCAACACTCTGGACCCGTGAGTCCTCCCTCCTCCCTTTGTTGACTCCTGACCGTCCACAAATGAGGTTCAGAACCCTCCTTCCAGCATCTCCCCTGGTCACATAGCCCCAGCCTCTTGCTCCAGCCCCATCCCTGCCCCCTGTAGTCATGCTCCAGTGGCCCTGAACCTGTCCATCAGTTTCATGCTCACTGACACCCGAGCCTGCACACAGGCCCTCCTTCCTGCACCCTTCCCATTCTGTGGACCTGGAGGGTTCCAAGCTCCCTCGAGGCTGGGCTCCTCCTCTGTGAAGCCTCCCTTACTTTCCCATCTCCAGCAAGGACTGCGACAGCCCCGATCATGCCCTTATCCCAGCACACGTGGTAACTCGATCCATCACATTTGGCAACTTGGTCTGTCCTCTGCTAGTCAGTGAACTCCACCAGGTGGGTGGGGAGCTGGGTCTGATAGTCTCTGTGCCCCCAGAGCCCACTTGGCATGGAGTCCAGCCCACAGTGGCTCTCAGCAAATGCCGGTCCCAGCCTGCTGCCCACACACTGTTCACTCAGGGGCTGGAGGCATTGCACGCATGCGGGACACGGGGATTTGCGAGGGCAGCTGAGCAGTGAGGTTTATAGAGGAACCCAGGGCAGCAGCAGGAAGGAGGAGCATCTGGAACTGGGTCTGGCAGGCTCAGGGCGCAGCCAGCCTAAGCTGGGGGTCAGGGGCCCCTGGTCCCTTCACTCCCCCAGGGGCACACAGTGTAGGCGGCACAATGTGGAGCGCCCCAGGAAGGGCAGGGCATGGGGCTGGGCTTTCCTCCATCAGCCCAGGGCAGAGCTGGTGCTGAAGGCCCCATTAAGTATGCCTGGGGACCTCCTTGGGGGCCAGAGTTATGGGGGAGGGGCACAGCCCATCCAACGTGTCCATCTGGTGTGGCTATGTGCCAGCTGGTAGTGTCCCACATGCAGGGCTCCCTCTGGGCCACAGGAGGTGGGGGACCTGGGCAGGCAGGCGGGCACAGCAGCAGGGGGCCGCGGGGAGCCTAGTCCAGTGGGCCCTGGAAAATGAGGCGGACACAGCCATGCTCACCGGTGAGCCAGGCCCCACAGAAGGGGCAGGCAGCGTGGAAAGCATGGGTGCCGTGGGGCAGTGGTGTCTGAGCCCAGTAGCGGGCAGTCTTCTCCGAGCAGACATGACCGCAGGGCGCAAAGGCGTGGCTGGGTGGCCCGGGGTCCAGGCAGAGGCCGGCCTCCTGGCCCAGCCACAGGGGTACGTAGGGCCCCACAAGGCGGCAGAGAGGACATTCGCGCTCCTGGGGGCCCCGCTCCCGCCGGCAGCCCCAGCCGTGGTAGCCGTGGACGTGCCCACAGCGGACGTAGACCCAAGGCTGCTGCTTGTCGGGTGCCGTGCGGCCACGGGCTGGACTGGGGAAGGCCAGGGTGCTGAGGCCCACAGGGCACTGGGGCCGGGCCGCGTTGGCCTCCTGCCGCTGAGCCTCCAGCTGCTTCAGCGTGGGTGCCCGCAGCAGCCCCGCTGGCGTGCGCCAAAGCAGCGTGGCCCCGCACAGGTCGATGAGGGAGCCGTCCTGCAGCACGTTGGATTCGTTTTCCACCTGCCAGAGGCAGCAGAGGGGTCTTACTGCCCAAGAGGCCCCCAACAACCAAGCCACCCCATCCCACTGAGCCTCCTTGGAGGGAACACCCTGGGCTGGCAGGGTGGGCTGGGCAGAGGGGCGGGACAGAGGCCAAGAGGGCAGACGGGCAGGTGCTCCCAGGCATGCTCTGTCCCTCACTCCCCGCAGGGGGTGTGGCCCTTGGTTTCCTCATGTCAGATCAGGTGGTCTGGATCAGGTGGTCTGGACCATGATTTTTCTGAAATGTTTTCCCAAGTGCTCCCCCTAATGCCAGAGGCAGGAGACAGCTCTAACAGGGAAGGCAGGATACTTTGCCCAAAGCCCCTGTCCCAGGGGTTGTGGTTTGAATTCTGGCCTCACCACCTACTAACTGTGTCTCTGGCCGAGTAACTTAACCTCTTTCTACCTTAGTTTCTTCATTCTCAAGAGGATTCCACCTCCCAGCATCTCAAGTGGTTCTCATGAAGATTAAATGAATCGGTCAATGTAAATTCTTGGACCAGTGCCATGCACATAGTAGGCGCTCAACTAGTGTGTGCTTGTGAAACATTCATGTGCAGAGTATTAACAGATAATGCTTCCCCAATCTCCCAGGAAAGATAAGCCATGCTTTTTCCTGAGGTTGTGCCTCTCCTTGGTCGAAGTGTTCACACCCAGGAAGAGCTCTGAGTGGGCCATTCGACAAGCGTGGCCACGTGACCTTGGGCAGCCCCTACCTCTCTCAGGGACTCATTGCCGGCTCCTAACCTTAGCTCTCTGACATGTACCACGTGGAGTTTCCACTGCCCCCCCCCCCCCACGTGTCAGAGCTAATCCAAGAGCCCGTTCCTGCCGGGAGAGAAGAATAAAGCTAAACCCATCTGAATGTGACAGACATGCTGCAGACTGCCAACACTCTAGGCTATAAACTGCTCACGCACAGGCCAAGTGTCACCCTCCTGAGATGGTGTGATTTTTTAAGCTGCTGGCGGCCTCAGAGTCGCTAGGGATTGCACGGTGTGTTTGTGCTCTATTTCACATCACCCCATGGACGCGGGCCTGGTCCTGTCTGTGAGGCAATTGGCATGTGCCAAGAACTCCCTGAGTTTGGGATTTCCCAAGATGGAGCCTTTTGGAGATCCCTTGGGTAGGAGCACTAGAGATCATCTCCTGGCTTGGGCAGGGGAATGGGCAGAAGGTTAGGGCCTGGCAAAGATGGGGCGGGGAACGCAGCGGGCCACCTACCAGCTTCCCCCGCTGCTGAGCTGAGCGGCTGTCCCTCAGCGTGTACACATTTCCACAGACGGAGATCTCCCGCCAGACACCCGGGGCCGAATCCTCGGAGAAGCCACCCGCGGGGTGCATGACCAGGACTCCATTGGTGGTCAGGCCATCCATCAAGCCATCAGGGGTCCGCCATTTGGCTGCTCGCTCCTGGGACCAAAGGGGTCAGATCACATCCCCGTATCCCCTCACCAAGCTGGGTGCCGAAGGTGCTGCCTCTCTCAAGTCCAGCGGTGGCCCAGAGAGGCCTGGCTGGAGCTGCATGACTTGGACATCACCTGACCTCTCTGGGCCTCACTTCGCTCATTTGTTAAGTGGGGTTGCTCATCCCTGCCTGGGTCATCGTTAGGATTTCTACAGGCTGGTCTATCACCCCAGGATGCTGCATCTCCCCAGGCTACCCCTTGGTTCATGCTCAGATGAGCAGTTCGTCCCTGCTTGGGGGCTCACTCACTCCAAGGAAGATGTTGCTGGAGGCATCGAAGCCAGCAGCATAGATGCGGGCAGTATAGGGCGGCCGGCGGTCACAGAGGATGCGGCAGGCATAGCGGGAGATGGTGCTCTGGGCGGATGGTCCCTCGGCGGCCCCTCCTCCAGGGGACGTGTCTGTTACCACAAAGTCGATCATGTTCTCTGTGGAGCGGCCAATCTGTAAGGAAGGGGAAGGCAAACAAGAATCCTATGTGCACACCCTACTCAGTCAAAAACCAGTTGATTTGCTGATAGAAGAGTAGGAGAGTACTTAAACATTAGCAGCAAATAGTAAACAAATTTTTTTGTTTGAATCTCACTCTGTCACCCAGGCTGGGGTGCAGTGGCATGCTCACAGCCACCACAGCCTCAATCTGCTGGGGTCAGGCGATCTTTCCGCCTCAGCCTTCCGAGTAGCTGGAACTACAGGCATGCACTACCACACACAGCTAAGTTTAAGTTTTTGATTTATTATACAGACGAGGTCTCGCTAAGTTGCCCAAGGCTGGACTTGAACCCCTGAGCTCAGGCAATCCTCTTGCCTCGGCCTCCCAAAGTCATGGGATTACAGGCTTGAGCCACCGCTCCCGGCAATAGTAAATTTTTAGCAAGAATTTACTATAAGCCAGGCACTATGCTAAGCATTTTATGTGCAATACCCCAGTTAATCCTCCCATGGAATGGGTACTATTATGGGCCTCATTTTATAGGTGAGGAAACCAAGACCCAAGAACTTAAGTGACTCTTGCTCAAAGTCACCCAGTGGTAAGTGACAGAGCTGGGATCTGAACCCAGGCAGTATGTCCCTCACACCCACACTCGGACCTACTGAGCTGTATGGCTCCTGCAGTCTGGGAGTCTTTTTTTCTTTTTGAGACAGGGTCTTGCTCTGTTGCCCAGGCTGGAGGGCAGTGGTACAATCATAGCTCACTCTACCCTCAAACGCCTAGGATCAAGGAATCTTCCTGCATCAGCCAATTGAGTAGCTGGGACTACAAGTGTGTGCCACCAGACCTGGCTAAGTTTTACATTTTTTTTAGAGGTAGAGTCTCACTGTGTTGCCTAGGCTGGTCTCAAACTCCTAGACTTAAGCGATCCTCCCTCCTTGGCCTCCCAAAGTATCTGGATTACAGGCATGAGCCACTGCTCCCAGCCATGGGAGTCTTGAGTTTGAGTCTCGATACAGTCACTGACTAGTTGTGTGACTCTGCAAAGTTAACAGCCCATATTCAGACATCCTGTTTCCCCATCTGAAGGGTAGTTGACAGCACTGAGTGCCACTGAATCACCTTTCGCATGGCCTGTGGTCCTGCAGCCTCACCCTGGAACACCTGCAGAGCCTAGAGGTGGCCAAGAGGTGCGTGGAGGGGCCTGAGCATACCTGGAACATGTCTGTGTCGCTGTCATGTGTGTACTCCACTATGACCGAGTGGCTCCGGGACAGTGTGTACGAGATGCTGTGTTGGCCACGGTTACTCAGTGCCTGGTGGGGAGAAAGAAGTCACTTCCCAGGGCATGCGGCCATGAAAAGTATACACCTCTGAGCCAGAAGCTGAAGTTCAAGGCTCAGCAGCGGCCCTTCCCTGGGAAGGGGGTGGATCCATCCTTCACACAGTAGGTGCTTTATATGGGTTTCTGACAGCCACCCCAAGAATTGGGTTATCATTCCCATTTTGCAGTTGCAGGGACTGTAGATCAGAGAGAACTTGGCCCATAGCTTACAGCTGGAAATAAGAGGCTGAATTCTAACCCAAATCCTCTAAAGACAAAGGTTTACCCTTTGCCATTGCTGTGTGACTATCACATCCCCCTCTCTGAGCCCCGGCTGCCTTTAAAAGGATGCTGCTCATTTCCATCCAAAGAATGGGGTCTGGCGGTCAAGGAAACATTTTGCAAGCTGTAAAGCACTGTGCCCACTGCCAAGGATTTCCCACTGTCACCGTTTCTCAGGTAGCCAAAGATGGACTGGGAAGGATGGACTGGGAAGGCCAAAGACCTGAGTCTCGGGCAGGGAGGGCAGGACTGGCACTCAGGTCTATAGGCCAGCTGCTTGCCTTGGAGACGAGTGGTGTGGAAATGTGGTGCATGACGTCCGGCTTCACTCCGTTGGCATGGGGCCGGCGGCTCAGTGCCAGGCGGCTTCGCCGACGGCCCTTGTCACCACTTGCCAGACACCCATTGTAGCTGTGGATGTGGGGGGTTAAGAACAAGGGTTGTGGGAGGAGAGAGAAAAAGAGAGAAAGTGAGCCCCTGATGAGACTTGGAGGAAACTGCCAACTTCTGGGCAAGTCCTACCTTAATAAGCAAGTTCTAGAATCACCCGAAACTAAAAGAATCTATGATATCAAATTGGTGCACTGGGGATGGGAGGGTGTCAGAATAGTTTCAAAAAGCCTTTCATTCAGTTCACTAAGTATTTCCTAGACACCTGAGCCATGCCTGAACAGGTGCTGGGCACTGAGGTGGTAGAGATGACATACCACGGTCAGCTGTGTGCACTCGGTGGAGGGAAGGACCCTCAGCTTCTTCAGGAACCGAGGTGCCACCTGTCATACCCAGGCACAAGCCAAGTGTGCCACAGACCAGAGGAAGCGAAGGGAATTCTGGTCCTAGAATTGGGTTTCTGGGAGAGGGAACACCTAGACTGGGCTTTGAAGAACTAAAAAGAATTCACCTGTAGCAAACTGTCACTTTTTACAAGGCTACTAGAAACCAAAATGAAAGAACGCAATGACCCATAAAGTCACTACCTCCATACATGTCACACTTCCACCTTCCTTTCCAGCTCTTGTCCGGAGGGAATGAGTGGGACAGGCAAAGAAGAGGTGAGTCATAGCCTTGATTTCTGCCATGCACTGCCTCCATGTTCCAGGGCCTTCACTTTATTAATCACCTAATGGAATCTGCAATGTCCTGCCAGACAAGTGTCTTTCTTCCCATTTTACCAATAAGAGAACTTGAGGCTCAGGAAGGGAAAGTGACTTGCCTCAGGCTAGTAAGGGGAAAAGTCCAGATTTGAGCTCGGGTCAGTCTCACTCCAGACTTGCAGAAACCCCTCAAGTTGAAGTTCGGCCTGTGCCAAGGCCCCAGGGCTGGCAGGGTTTGGTGAGATCAGGGAATGGTGACTTGCATCGTGAAATGTGGTAGGGGAAATGACATTGGTGGAAGGGTCTGGAACTCCATGCTGAGGGCATTATTCTGTAAGCAGTGGGGAGCTGCGAAGGTTTGGGGACAGGAAGTGACAGGATCAAGAGGTGCCAAATACAAGCAAGGACCACTTGAATCAGAATCTTCTGGTGAGCTTGTTAAAATCCAGATTCTCTGGTCCCACCTACTGAGATTCTGATTCTGTAGGATTGGAGTGGGTCTGTCAATGTGTATCTTCAGTGCTCTCCAGTGGCTCTGATGTGTAGCCCGTGTGGGTTTCACTGCCCTGCAGGGGGCTGTCAGGAGGGCCCATGTGTGGGGGTCTGCAGTCCCCCCCATCAGTGGCCTTACCCTTGGCTGGAAAGCCAGCTCTGCCCTTGGGACTCGAGGCAGCTGCTTTTCCAGTTCAAGCACCCCCGAGAGGGGCATCATTTTTGCCCTCTTCACATGCATGGGGCAGGCGGCAGGCCTTGAGGTGGAGCTGTTCAAGACACAGGCTCAGGAGGCTGAGAAGCCTGGCTTAAATCTGGCTCTTCTGCTTATCGCGTGACCTCTGTAAAATGGGGCTAATTTTTCAGGACGTAACTCACGGGTTCATTTTGAGAGCCAAATGAGATAAAGCATTTAAAAGTGCTTGCCATGGAGTTTACATTGGCATATTTATAGCAGGTCCTTGATAAGCGTTAGATATTATTATTTTTTTAAAAGCACATGTCAACAAACAGTAGCCATTATTATTTCCTAATAAGCAATCATAATGATCATATAGCTTATCAAATAGTTTCTTCAGGACTGATGGCAGAGACAGAAGCCAAAAGGAGACCTGGATAGGGGAGGAGTCTGTGCCTGGGGGAACAGCTGAAAAGATGTTACAGGGATCCTGGTCAGGCGAAGACCAGGAAAGGATGGGGTCTGCCCAGCCACCAACTCACGTCGCTTCCTCTCTCCTGGCTTCAGTTTTCTCATCTGTAGTGTGACGTTGAGCTGTGGCTTAGTGAAAGTGCACTAGACCTAGAGAAAGACCTGTGTCCAAATCCCAGCCCTGCCACTTACCAGCTGTGTGCCCTTGGGCCAGTCACTTCCCCTCTCTGAGCCTCGGTTTCCTCACCTCCTTCCTCACAGCATCTTTGTGAAGATTGAAATGAAATAATGTCCGTGAAAGGGCTTGGCACAGGCCTGCCTCCCAGAACACTTGATATGTGCCAGGCACTGTTCTTCGTACTTTACAGAAATCACTCATTCCTTCCTTCCAACAACCCTCTGAGGTCGGGATTATTACCATCCCTGTTTGCAAAATGGGAAAATGGAGGCATGGGAAGTTCGGCAACTTGCAGAGGCAGGATTTGAACCAAGCAGTTTTGCTAGAGAACCAGAGTTCCTCACCCCACACCACACACTAGGTACTTTATGAAAGGCAGCTGGTGTTACTTTTTTCTCATCTCATCAGGAACTTGGGCAGTTAGAGTTGTCTCAGCAATTTGTGGAAAATGGGAAAATAAAATAATAACCATTGAGGTGGGTTTGTCCAATTTTGTCTTTCAGCTAGGAAGGTGAGGGGAGACAAACAGCAGAAGGCCCTAGGTGGGGTGGGAGGCTCGGGGCCCCTGCTCTTGCTGCCCTGGGGGGTACCTGGTGCCTCACCCCTCCTGGACCAGGGCCGCTCACCCCAGGACGATGAGTTCGCCATACTTGATGGGCTCCTCGCCTGGCTGTGCATCTTCACCAGGAGAGGAGAGAACACAAGAGCCCTTGTTTCCGGGGTGCTGTAGGTCTGAGGTTCGAGGGGACCCCACTTCAGGGTTTCCTTCCAGCACCATTCTGGGCAGAGGGGGAGAGAAAAGAGCTTTGCAGCTTCCCAACCATTCCCCCTCAATCCAAGCTCCAGCCTGCTGCAGGGCCACTTAGGCTATGGCAGAGTGACCTTTCACCAAATCTATTGCTATGGCAACCAGTCACCTCTGCCTCCCCTAAACTGCCCCAGGTTGCTGGGATACCAGGGAGGGGAGATGGGTGGGATGAAACCAAGAGGGAGGGGTGGCAGAGGGTCGGGAGATTTGGTGGTGCCAGAGTGATGGACCAACTTGGGATGACCAGAGATTGCTTTCTGATGAAGACGCCAGTCTGGGATGTTCTTGGAAGAGGAGCACCCCATGAGTTGGGGGCCCTTACCCTTCATCTCAGATTCAGCTGGACTTAGCCCTTCGCCTCAAAACCTCTGAGTTACCCCTCTATCAGGCTCTTTGAATCTATCTGTCCATCTTAATCTTCTGTCCCTTTGCAGTCTAGGCCTCCTTCAGTCTGTCTGTTTTCTCAATGACTCTCTGTCCTCCCAGCCGCTGTCCTTTTCGCCAGCTCTCTCCCCCCGCTCCCCATCTCTGCCCGTCTGCCCGCCTCCAGCTCACCATCCGTCTGCCTCAGTCTCCCCGTCTTGGCCTCGCTCTGCGGGCAGGCCAACGGACTCCTCCTGGTGCGCGATCCCTCCCTCCCTTCCTCCCTCCCTCAGGTGTCTGTCTGCGGTCCCCGGCCGCCGCCGGGTCTCAGGAGGCCTGTGGGGGCGGCGCTCCCCCCTCGGGCTCGGGCTGCAGCAGAGCCTGTCTCCCGCAGGCAGCCTGTTTGGAAAACATCCCCGCGCCGGAGGGACTGCGCCGGGGCAGGCCCGCGCCCCGCGCCCCGCGCCCCGGGCGGGCATTATGACGGCCCAGCGCATACGCAGATACACAT